ATTTTCAGGGCACGCCTAAGACTTCTCATGGCACACCTGAGTGTCATGGTACACCAGTTGAAAATGACTGCAGTGTAAAACCCTTCGGGGCCTTCCTCACTTTTCTGTTAAACACAGGCCTCTGGAATGGGATGTGCAGGCCTCCCTAGTCTCCCCGAATTTTCCTTCCCTTGGGGGTTCCTGACCACCAGCCGAGGGAAGCCTCCCCAACCTGGTCTGGGTGGGATTCCTGTGTTCCACTGCCCGTGGAGCGGCTTGCTTTCCCTTTGGGGCTTTCCTTTGTGGTGCTCCATTCCTACTACAAGGACCAGGCCAGGAGGGTCCAGTCTGTCCTGTTCATAATTGTATCATCAGCTCTTGGCACAGGGGCCCACAGGAGAAGCTTAATCTGTGCTCATAGAAAAATGGTAGAATTTGACCAGTAAAGAGGGAAGCATTACAAAAAGGGAAATGGACCCCCACCAGGAGTGAATCCTAGCTGAGAGGTCTGTAAGCCCTGGGTGGATGACAGATAGGGGGAGATGTAGCAGAGGCTCACCTGCATGGGTTACATCTGGAGAGTGCTTCTTTGTTTAATTTTGTTCCACCCCTGTGTTATCAGCACGTCAGCCATTCGGGAGACTTTTAGGAGTTATCAAGGATACAAGTCCTACGACTAGAACATGGCAGAATATTGCTGCTTTTCCCAAACCAGTTATCTCTCCCAGACCAGGGAGGCCTATGCAGTTGGATAAAGTATTTCCCAGAGAAGAAATTACAACTTTTCTCTTCTATAGTAGCTTATTCCACCTACAGATTTTATTTTATTTTTTTATAGTTAGGTGTCTTTTGAAAACACCACATACAACTAGAACAGCGGTTCTCAACCTGTGGGTCGTTACCCACAGGAACTGTATTAAAGGGCCACGGCATTAGGAAGGTTGAGAACCACTGAACTAGAAAATTAAATTTCCCTTTTAAAAGATGGGTTGCAGTTAATACTCCTATAAGATGTTCCCTATCAAATGTAAAAAGAAAAAAACCCTGAGCTATGATGTTATTATAAGCACACATACAGAATCTTCAGTGTTTAATCAAGTGCAGTTTCCTGTTGGATTTATTGATACTTTCAGTTTAATAGGATCCTGGAGTGAAGCATGCCCTATCCTGTGGGGATTGTGCTAACATTGTAAGCAGGTTGTATGCCAGGCTGTAGTTAAATGTCTTACTGGTCATGACCTTCAAGATAAAATCTTTCTCTTAGTGGTTCTCTTCCTCAGTGATACTGATCTTCTACTTGTTTTTTGTACTTTAAGTAGAAGACTCATTTCTTAATTGAACATAACTAATACCTGAAATTTAAGAGTTTAGAAAATCTTTTGACTTTATAATTTCAAGGATTAAGAGGGTATTTTTTTGCTGAATATTTTCCCCCATAACTGTTATATAACAATGAACCTATGATTTTGCAAGAAGCAAGTGTAAACTCTGTCTTTCAGAGTGCTGTGCTGCCTTCTAAAAATCTTTTGAGACTCCACATGCTCCAAATTGCTTAGAACCTTGACAGCCCACCAGGATGTTCTGTGTGTTTTTCTTTTTGTTTGTGTAGCACTTAATTTATTAGACTAATATGTACTACTTTGCTTTGTTCTCAAGCCTCCAAATTTCTCCAAATTAAGCCATCAATTCCCACACTAAAAGCTCCCACCTGTTCCCCAAAGCTACACCGAGGCCTAAGGGGAAACTAAAACCTGAGATAGGTGACCCGCTGGGGAAGGGAGGCCAGCCCGCTGTCACCTGGGCCCCAGGATGTACTCGCCCTGGGGAGTGCAGATCATGGCTGTGTCTGCCTGGACCAGCAGACCAGCGGCCTTTCCTCCCAGGAGGGTGTCGTGCCCCCCCGCAGATAGGGGTCCCTAAGGGAAAGAGTGTGTCGTCTCACTCCACCACCTCCCTGCCCAGCGGCTGGCCCAGGTGGGAAGAAGTTGAGAGGATGAAGTGAGGGATAGTGGAGAAGACCGTTGAGGGAGGAATGCCTTTCTGGCCTGTGGCTGTCCTGCCATTTGGCTTCAGTTTACTCTCTGTGTGGTACTTTCTGCACTTGGTTAGAATTACCCAAAAGTCACATTCTGTTTTCAAAGGGAGCAGGTTTCTATGACACCGCAGAAGTGCAGTGTCCTCTGCATGCTCACCTCACCCCATCTTCCCATCTCTCCTGCCACGGAGAAAGCATCTAGCTGTCACTCCCTGCTCTTCCAGTCTCTCTCCACCACTCTCTTCCATCTCCCAGCAAATAATCATAATACAGCATTGAAGTAGATAGAAATAGGTGATATATTTATTAAATTTTACCTTTTTTATAGCAAAGTGATTTCACTGTATGTGTATGTTTTGTGCTCTGCTATTTTATATATCTGAATTAAATTGCCTTTTGTGTCCTCGGAGTTCAATCTTGATAGCCTCTTCCAGCTCCATCAGTAGCCCCTGGTGTGCACCACCTCTGCCTCAGGGAGGGTCAACAGGCTAGAGGCAGTTGATGGCGTCCATGTGCAGAGTGAGCACTAGGTGCCATGAGTTAAGACCGGGAGAGGAAGTAGCTGCCATGGCTAGGGCCTGTGCAGCCAGGTCCTGGGGAAGTAGAGGTCCCAGAGATGAGCTGTCCTGGACTGGAACTGCACTGGAAGTTTTACAGGGGAGCCAGATGCCGCAGAGTGTCCCTGAGAGGAGACTGACATCTCTCAGTCCTGGAGACACGGGTCCTGGAGTACAACCACTGTACCTGGTTTCCGGCTCTTCAGGGTCTTTTAGTTTTGTTTTCAGGGTTTTGGTAGTGGTTTTTTTTTTTTTTCTTTTTTCTTCATTTCCTGTTTTAAAGTTCAAATTACTTTAGCTTTGATATATTGTAGAGAATAGGGGAAAAAACTAAGTAGAATTTTACTTCAAAAAAAGGTGCCCTTTTTTTAATTTTTGTTGCTCTAGCCAGCAGTCTCCTCTGCCATATATAGATAAAGTGATCACAAATCAGATTTTAGTTTAAGATATTCATATTGTTGATTTCAGGAGGTCCTGGTGTGATTCCTCAAGGATGTATTAACTACTGAACGTTGCTTCTGCTTGTACAGGTTGGGGTCTCTGCACACTTTAGTACTAAGGACTGGCGGCCATGAGACCTCATAATATACTTTCCAGTGTGGATGAGGGTAAGATGCTAGGAAGGAGTGTGTGTGAGTGGGGAAGGTTGTCACCTGTAACAGGTCCCCCTGGAGGCCTGGGCAGCTGCAGGGGAGGCCCTGTGCTCACGAGAGATGGCCTTGGTTCTGGTGGCTCATGTTAGGTTCCTTGCGGGCCTGCCTGGTAATTTACACAAATGCAGCAGGTTAGATGGAGTCTGAGATGAATTAAGCACTTGCCCAGGAACGGGGGCAGCATCCAGTCCCCAGTCCAGTGACTGTAATTCCCCCCTGACTGCGCGCGTGCACACACATTCACGCTCAAGTACCACCCTGTGGGAAATAGGTAGATGCTCTAGTAAAGGCCCTTCAAAAAAAAGAGATATGAGCGGCCACTACAGACAGGAGAATCCTAGTCCCAAGGATTCTCAAAGCAAGAAATTGAAAGCATCTCTATTAAAGTAAAGTAGAGCCATAAGGTATAAATAGTAATCAAAGCCTGTGAACCTGGTTCCTCTGTAACAAAATCAGCCAGCATAGGGGTTTAAGGGAATAGGTGGTGGGAGCGTAAATCCACAGTTGTTTTGGAAGGTACTGAGGCAACACCTGTCAAAACTAGAAATGTGCACACTCTGTGACGTTTTTTGTAAAAGACAGAAATTGGAAATCAGATGCTTGTCAGAAAGTCAGTGCTTATGTACAGGACAGTCTGTGCTAAAATATTTTTCATTCCTTAAAAAGATTAATGTAGATTTGTATGTCCAGTACTGATGTGAAAAAATGTCCAACTTTATGATGGAAAATGTAAAAGCATGTTATATTCCATTGTTCTAAAAAAATCTATAGCTACAATGAAAGAAATTGTGTATCACATAGACAGTTTAAGTCTTCTATGAATTTAAGTATTTACTAAAAATATTTGAACATATTGGAATTTTCAGAGTTGGGAAATCAGTCTGAATCTAAATTACAGAGAGAAAGTGAGTATAGCTTTATGTTTTTAAACATTCCTAAGAAATTTTGCCACATGTCTGGGTGGGGGTAAATACATAATGATTTGAATAGCAAATCAGTTATTCTAAACAGATAAGCATTTGTTTTTGAAAATGTCCTTTTAAGTAATTAAATGCATTTTTTTATTGGATGCCAAATTCTTTTTTGAGAGTGTAAATGCACATCAAACATTCAGATGATCAAAAAATGCTAAAATTGTAGATACTACACTGATGAAGGTTTTACTGTAGTGATTTCTGCAATTTTACTAAATTGTGTGCCAGGGAGGAAATTATTTTGCAGTGGATCCCAGGAGGTCTGGCCATTATTCAAAGGTTCTCTTCCTCATTTGTACTTCAGCATTTTCTATGCCTAAACATAACATAACGCGGAATCTACTGAACATAACAAAATATTACATGTGCACCATTTGAGCTCTTTAGGCCTGTTAGTTTTATCTCGTGTCAAATGAAGAATCACATTACATGTCATGAGCAGCATCTCTAAATCTATCTCTGGTTTTTAAGTGGTCTCCTTTCTGTAAATGTCTGTGTGCCTGCTGCCCGAGATGCTCATTCTGTGCTGCAAAGGTGATGCCATATGTTACAGCTGTAATGATTCAAAACTACAAAACTCAGCAGAAGTGGGCAGTGGAGGCATCAATAGAGGTCACCTGGTTTGATTGCAGTGTACAAGGAGGCTGAATTGAACCCCTGTAATTGTGTGTGGATTCTACAGTAATTCAGCAAGCACCAAGTATGTGCCAGGCACTGTGCTAGTGCTTAAAAGTTTCATTTTATCTTTTCAACCCCATTTTCAACCCCATTTTACAGTCAGGAAAATTCGGGAGAAGAGGAATTAGGTCGACATAGACACACAGCTAGATAAAGTGGTAGAAGCAGGTTTTTGAATTTAGGTCTGAGAGTTTCTGAAGCCAACAGTCTTTGTTTTTATTAGTCCCCCTTAATTTTGTGGAACAAAGATGTTATATGTAACACTGATTATGGGAAAACTGAGTGTTCTTTAAGTTTTGGGTTGCATCTTTGAATACTTTAAAAATATTTATGTAAATCAATGGTAGACGCTTTGCAGGTAAAATTATCCAATCTATATATTTTTTTCTTTTAAACAAAACAGACTTGTATATTTATGATGAACTTTTTTTCTTCTTTTTTCTTTTTTGTAATCTTTGTAGGAAGTGACCAGGTTCACTACTGGACACTACTTACAAGCCAAGCCTTAGATACTGTCTGGAGAATAGCGAAGGCTTCTGTGATATTGGCCATTTCATTTCTAGTGGCCACCATCTGCTACTTCAAGAGCCTGCATTTATATTTAGGGCATCGGCTGAAATGGTAGGTCATTGTATCATTGAATTTTAAATACATGCTTGCTATCTAAAGCAGAATTTTGATATTGTCATTCCCTTTATCTTTCAGGTGGATTGGCTATCTGCAGAGAAAATTCAAAAGTAAATATTTTCATTCATGTATTTATTTAAAGAGGCTCAAAGAGAGGGCTCAGAGAGAGCTCAAGAAGGGTGAGGAAAGGGAAAATTAACTGCCTTTTATTTTTGATTTGGTCCAGGGAACCTCAGTGTGGAGGCAGAAGTTGATTTACTCAGTTATTGTGCAAAAGAATGGAAAGCAGAAACGCCTCATGCCAAGCTGATGAGGAAGGTATGTCTGTTTACAGTGGCTATGGAAGACAGAATTTGTCAAAATCAGGAAGCATTTCATTCTGCTTTACTACATCCACACATCAACACCAAAATGTGAAGCAAGTAACAACTGTGGCTTTAATTCAGAAGCCAAACAGGTGCTAGACATTGCCTTTGGGCCTTTGACCTTGAGCAGCAGTTCTAAAACTGTGGATCGAGACCCACAGGAACTGTGTTAAAGGACCACAGCGTTAGGAAGGTTGAGAACCACTGACCTAGAGATTGTGCCTTTGAGGACATAGGTAGATTGGGCCTACAATTTCAGGAAGCTTGAGCCTTGTGTTCTTTTTGGCTCTCTCGTGTCTGTTAAACATCTGCATATGTGGTGGAGACTGTCTTTGATGGGGTTGGGTACCCTGACATAAAAATATTTTTAGAATTTTTAGAATTTTCCATTGGACTAATCATGGTATATATTCCCAGCAGTGCTGCCTAATCTTATCACTAGCAAAAGCTAAAAAAAAAAAAAAAACAGTTGTGTGTGGGAGAGTATATTTAACTCCTTAACGTGGTCTTAAAAGTATATAGTATTTTTCATTTTTCACTGTGTTTAGGTTGCATCCATTATCTGCCCAAAGTTACCTGCCCTGGTGCTGGTCAGTCCATCCAGGATTTATCATCTAAAATACCATGTCACAGATCTGGTGAACCTGAGAGTCATTTTAAAATTACGTGTGATTGGCTTAGCCCCTTTTGCACAGTGGTTACGGCACCAGCCACATACACCGAGGCTGGCAGGTTCGAGCCTGGCCCATGCCAGCTAACCAACAATGACAACTGCAATAACAAATAGCCAGGCATTGTGGTGGGCACCTGTAGTCTCAGCTACTTGGGAGGCTGAGGCAAGAAAATCACTTAAGCCTAAGAGATGGGAGTTGCTGTGAGCTGTGATGCCACGGCACTCTACCAAAGGTGACATAATGAGACTCTGTCTCAAAATAAATAAATAAATAAAATAAAATTACATGTGATTGTATTCATAATTTATCATTGTTTCTGTCGTTCACTTCAATTGGGAGGAGTACCTCACTGAAACTACAATGCATACAATTAAGAAACATCTTTCTCTTTTTGTGCTGATAGGCTTATGAGGAGCTGTTTTGGCGGCATCATATTAAATGTGTTCGGCAAGTCAAAAGAGATAACTATGATGCTCTAAGATCGGTGTTATTTCAGATATTCAGCCGAGGCATCTCTTTTCCATCGTGGATGAAGGAAAAAGACATTGTTAAGGTATGTCTTCACACTGGAGACTCAGGAGATGGCACGTCGATGAGTACTGCAAGTCAGAAACTTCTGGTCTTTGTGCTCAGGAGGTCACGAGACTGAAGAAACTTTTGAGAGGCGGTTTATCCCAATCCTCTATCTTTCATGTCAGTTTGCAAATAAGCCATCTCAGAAAGATAGTCCTCTGGGTGTTGTTTGTTTTTAATGCCACCATTTTGTCTTGAGAGGCCTCTGTCTTTTGTAAGTAAGGTAATCTAGTTAAATTCACTTTTTCACTCTCTAGTTACATGAGTTTTAACAAATGTGTGCAGTATGCAACCACTACCCAAATCATTCGCTGGTAAACTTTTGTAGTCAGTCCTTCTCCCACCCTCAGCCCCTGGCAATCACAGATCTGTTTTCTATCCCTATAATTTGCCTTTTCTAAAATATCATATAGATGGAATCGTTCACTATTTAGCTTTTTGAATCTGCCTTCCTCAACTTAGTATAATGTATTTGAAATTCATTCCTGAATTCATCTGTGAATCAGTAGTTTGTCCTCTTTATTGTTGAGTGGTATTCCTTTACATGAATATAATTGTTTATTCATGTAGAATGTTGAAGGACATCTGGATTGTTTGCAGTTTCGGGCTGTAATGAATAAAGCTGTTATAAATATTCCCAGATAGGATTTTGTATGAACATTAATTTTTATTTCTTCTGAGTAAATACTTAGGAGAGAGATTGCCCAACTATATGCTGTTTTTCAGAGTGGTACAGCCGTTTTGCATTTTGACCAGCAATGTAGAAGAGTTCAGTTGTTCTACATTCTACCAGCACTTGGTATTGTCAGGTTTTTTGGCTTTAGTAGGTGTGAACTAGTATCATTGTACTTTTAGTTGGCATTCCTAATAAGTAAAAATGTTAAACATCTTTTAGTGTGCTTATATGCCATCGATATTATCTTCTTGGTTAAGTGTCTATTCAAATCTCTGCCCATTTTTTATTGAGTTGCTATTTTTTTTAATTATGAGCTTTGAGAGTTCTTTATTTATGTATATTCAGAATGTAGAGCCTTATCAGGTATGTAATTTGCAACTATTTCCGCCAAGTTTGTGGCTTGTTTTCTTATTTTTTAACATAAGGTAGTAAATTCTTTTTTTTTTTTT